ATTTCCCTTTCTTGGTTGCTCCACTTGTTATAACAGGCTGATGTTGAACATGTCCATGTAAATCCTGTTGAGCCGATGCCTTCATGCCTTCACCACAGATTTGTGGTAAGGAAAAACAAAGTATGAGAACTTGAGAACAAAGCATTTATAAAATTGAATAGCCTTTGCCTTCACTTTCTGTTATGTTGGTTCATTTTACATAGTAACAGTAAGCATTATCCTGCAATATTACCTTATCTCACCTTTTGCTCTCTTTCTCTCTTCATGTAGAATTGAATCTGCTTTTTTACTTCTTTTCTTTCTTTTTTTGTTTCTCCAAATTCTGTCTGTCAGCTATGTTCTGATAAAAGAGAGAGATATTCAGCACTCGTGCATTTGTTACAGTCAGACGCACCTCAATCTGCCATCATTTTTGTTGGAGAGCAGGTTAGTGACACAGTTAGCACATATTTATGTGGTCAGCTACATAAACTGGAACGAGCATTTCGTTTTTTGTTCAATCATTTATGTTCGTTCATTTCACTGTATAGAATAATCTCCAAAGCCACATGGGTGAAACTTGAGTGCATACTGCTCTGTCGTTGTTATTCAAAATAAAAATTTGCCTCTTACAGGCCCAGAATCTTAATTGTATCCTCCCAAATTTAATTTTTTGACATCTTAAAGCTCTATGGGAAAGCAATTGTGATCTCCAGTAGGTGGTGTGACCATGGATGCCTGAGTAATAATTTAACTTATGCGGTGGAACTTTTTCTTTTTTCTTTTTTAATTCCATGAATATGTTGCTTCTATAATGTATAGTAATTACTAATATGTGAATAGACTTTGATCACCATATTCACAAAATATGAAAATATTTTTCGATTGAAGTTAGTCAAAGATAGAATGTTGTAAGTACTATTAATTAGCATCTATCACTTAATATGTAGTCTGAGAAATCGAAAAAAGCTGGAAATCCTCCACCAACAACTCATCTAATCGAATTTCTGAAAACCTCTATTGATGGATGCCCGGAGTTGGTCCTCTTAGAAGAAGACATGAATTTTCACAAACGAGCTGCATCCTTAACCGTCAGTGCAACTAATCCTATTCAAAAGTCTTCTGCTCATTTTACTGTGCTGAATTTTTACTTCTACTAAACATAATTTTATTTTCTTGCTCTAGGACATAAAGCAATCAGGAGGCTATCTTCTAGTTGCAACTGATATTGCTGCCCGAGGGGTTGACCTGCCCGAAACAACTCATATATACAACTTTGACCTTCCGAAAGATGCAATACATTATCTTCACCGAGCAGGAAGAACAGGTCGAAAGCCATTCTCGGACAGTAAATGTTTTGTTACCAGCATTGTAACTGCAGATGAACGGTTTGTATTGGAGAGGTTCGAAAACGAATTGCTATTCCATTGTGAAGAACTATCATTCAGTAATATATAACTGTCATTGGATATTGGTTTGCTTATTTCCATTTTTTCATATTTTTGTTGTTAAAATATGCAGATTTGTTGAAAGAAATTAGCAAGATTTACACAACCAATCTATATATTAGGCCTTTTAAAGGGCATTGAAAGGTCCGAAATTTATGCATATTTTTCTCGAGAAAATTTGAGTGATCCAGGAATTATATTTTCAAATGAGAATGTCACTTATTACTATTGAATTGTTACACTTGTGCAACTTCATGAACAATTGGCAGAACCTCAAGATCCTCAAAATTTTGCTTGTTAATGACAGTAAAAGGTTGTCATATCACAGTCCCATCTTTAATAATTGAATTCTTCAGTATTACTGTGACGCCTGATCGGATGTAAAACCCTTCGGAGGTTCTATCTGCCTCTTGTACACCCTGCAAACCAAGATGTGTGAAGGCACAATAATGAGTTTTTCTTTTTTTTTTTTTTTTTTTTTTTAATGAATAATTTAGAATGTCGATTAAAGATCTAAATATTCATAATATATATATACGACTTCTTTCTAAAAATAAAAATTCCAAATGGTCATGATTGGTGGTACGCTTACCTCTGAATTTTCAATGACTACGTTTTTACCAATCCTGGCATTCTTGTCAATAATGCATTCCCTGTTTATAGAGTAAAGATTCATATGTGAAGATAAATAATTGGAAATACTTAGGAGAAAACTGAAGACATGTAAGCAGAAGCCAAAATTTTTACTTTATTCTTGTATTTTCACCAATTCCTATAGGAACTTTCCCCTTAGACAAGGCTAACGCAATTTCGGAATCCGTTTCATAGTAGTCAGCCCCCAGCATTACTGTATCCTGCAAACCACAATGAGCTAACAGCTAAAGGGTTTTT